TACACACACACACACACACACACACACACACAGACACACATATAAAATTTACAAGTGTACAAATTTGTATCATGATGCGTAATGATAAATTTATTTTGTAAAAAGTATCTGCTGTGGAACGAAAAATCAGTCAATATATAATCAATTTTTATTATCGATGCTCGCTTATTGTCGATGCTCGCTTATTGTCGATGCTTTAGATAAAATTCACATAAATGATAATGCAGGAGATTGAAATTCATTTCAAAGACGTTCATATATTTTTATCAGGACTTTATGAAATTAAAGAGTTATATAATTACTTGACATTAACTTGTCACAAAGATAAATTATCTAAGGATTTTACATTCATTGATTTCTGGTGATGACGAACAGTTATGTGTTTTTTCACTAACCATTGGAAGATTATAGGCACATTATACTTTCTACAAATATTGTTGAAAGCAGTATTATTGTGCCGAATGTAAAATATGGTATACAATTTTTATATAAATTATACGTTTAATTCATATAAAAAGAAAGGAAAAAAAAAATGATTTAATTGTGAAAAAAAATATTGAAAGTATTTAAAAATAATATAATTATCGAAAAGGGAAAAAAAAGTAATTCGATACATAATTTCCAATAATAGATTTTTGCCTTGTGAAATAATTATCGAGAATCTCATCACTCGATATCAAACTTTAAAACTTTGTTGAGTGACTAAATTGTATACAATGAGCTGGTCGCACGGGTCGTATAATGAATGGTAGAGATTAGTACCAAAAGCATTTTATGATGTAAGTAATTAAAATATTTAGAATCCATGTTTTTCATGTGCGATAATTTCTTAATTATTTTTCTATAAAATTTACAGAATATTTTAGGTACAAGTACACCGGAAATGCTTCGCGTTCCGCTCGCTAATGTTATTTTTCGTGCTAAAGTTTTTGATATCGATGAGCCACGTGTACTTTTTTCGCAGTTCCTCGATCCATCTAGTTTTTCTAATTTGACAAACGATATTCTAATCTAAAAAAAAAAAAAGTCGGGGCCTTGGTAATGAGGACGATTCTTACCTATCTTTCGATGGAGAATTAACTGATCTTGATAAAGTGATGGCGCTTTTTCCGCTCGATATTCGAATTTCGAAATTTATCGTGTTGGGCCACATTTTTGAAGTGTTACAAGATATTATTATGAAAGCCAGTATGTCTGTTAAGGATGTTTTTATTCTTGAGAGATGCCACCCTACTGTTTCTTCATATACACGGAAAAAAAAATGGACTCGTAATTCTAACGGTGACTGCATCGCTGTTTTAAACCTTTATAAAATGTGGCGGAATGAAGAGGCAAACCGTCGTTTAAACACTTATCAAGCCGAAAAACAATGGCCCAAAGAAATGGACTCTATTTAAGGACTCTTCGTGAATTGGATGCTCTAGCGAATAAAGTCATTAATTGATTATTCCATTTGGGAATTAAAGAGAGTACTGGAGTAAACAAAATCATCTGAGAAGGTATATTTATTTATTTTTAAATTATTTGTGATTGTATTACTTTTTAATTTAATTATTTTTAATTAGGTTTTAATCATGTATGTATGTATGTCATATGTGTATATCATATGTGTATATATTATAAAAAACATTGAATTGATAATTTGTGTCTTCTGGTATTTTGCAATTATATTTTATATATGTAATTTGTCATGTAATATATTTTACATTAGATTGTTTTCTATCATCAAAATCTATCTTCCAATAATTTTATAGTTAGATTATAATTATAATTATCTTATTTTTTATTTCTTTTATCGTTATTTTGTCATATTGTTATTTTATTGTTATAATAATAGAATAATAACTTTGGTAATCAATTTTTTATCAACTTTAAACTTACAGATAAATAAATTGCATAATTGAATAAATATCGGAATGCAACTGGACGATAACTAATGATGATGATATTATAATTTGTCAAAATAAAATTAAACACATTTTACTCGAATTGAGAAACAAAGAAAATCATGAAATCCAGAAGATGATGAAGTCGATTATTTTAACAGTGAATGGAATCATTATAACAGATCGCATTTTTTGCCATCTGCTCTAGAAATGATGAGAAAAGTGTGACATATATTCGTTGCATAAAGCATTAAAACTACACGAAATAGATGAACATAGCGAGGATATATTGAAACATCTTTTACAATTACAGTATCTTGCTAGCGAGTATGTAGACAGTATTTTTATGTATATTATTATAATTATATTTTATATGTTTTAATCTCTTTCATCAGGGATGCACAGATAGTGGGAAATGTAGCTGCTTTTTGTAAACTATGTGGAAAGAAAATTGGCTTATTAGAATTTCGTAGTCATCTTTATTCAGAGCAACATCTAGAAAACGAGAAACTTTTATTATTAATACATTAAGTTGAAAATTAAAATACTATAATCAAATTCCTTTATTCTGGAATTTTCTTTCCATCTATAATTTTTTTTTAATGGTATAGTCTTTCTGAATATATATGTATAATATATGTCTAAAAAATTGTTTAGTTTTTCTCTATTTTGTTTTACTTTATACATATATGAATGAAAAATATTATTCCAGAATAAAAAAAAAAAAAAATGTACTATAGAGAAT